AAAGGGGGGGGGGGGGCAGCACTGAGTTCAATAATCAGACTGGCTGGGGATTTAGTTTAACAATGGGGAAAGACGGGGAGGGGGAGAATCAAGCAAAGAGGGTTTTGTTTTTTTTTTTTTTTAAATAATGGAACATAGATTACTGCTAAGGATACAGAGTTAAGGACACACAGGCACTCCTAGCATAGCACAGGAAAAAAGGCAACTCTTGGATGGTTACTGATACCTAGAAAGCTGAACTAAAGATTCACAGCAACGCCATGCTGAAGATAAATGATGATTTTCTGATGTTCCCTTTGCCTCAAAAGGTGGCAGGCGGTAGACACAAGATCTTCTTGGGTTGTGATACAGTATACAGTAGCTGAAAACAGATTAGTGAACTTAATCTTTGATTCTAAGCAAGTCCAAAGGCCAGAATTCAGTCTCAATTATTGAACAGAAGCCAAGAGGATTATCTCTGTGTGTCAGTCTTGGGGAGGTCTGTTTACGCTGTAGAATAAAAGCAAGCATGTTGAGGCAGGAGGGGAGGAAGGCACTTTGTTAAGTAGAGTGAATTAGTAGATTTAAGAAGATATTTAGAGTAGATTTTTAGATTTTTGGTGCCTTAGGACACACACACACACATATACACATACATATATATACACACATATATACACACACACATACACACCAATTTGAAATGCAAAGTCTGGAGTGACATGCTGCACTGTAACGCTCAACAATACAATGTTTTTGGTGGGCGTTACTTATTATAAAGCAAAATCCACTACTGACTTGCCAGGTGGGGAGAAAGCTTTCATCCATGCATGTAGCTTCTGCAGCTCTTTATCACCTTAGTTGTAACATAAGATCAGCCTAATAAAGAAGTTAGGTAATTACTTACTCCTTGTAAAACTTGAAAGCTGTCATTAGTAGGTGGAGGATCCTGATCTGGGTCAACTCCAACTCTACAGAAACATTAGGGAAACAAAGCAAGAGGTGTTACTGAGGGTTACAAATGTTAAGTTTGGCAGAATGCATTTTAAAAGCACCTTAACCGCCCAGCAAAGCTGCATTCAGAGAAATTATAAGAATAGTTTCAGGAAGAGCTGTCCATTATTCCCCTGCGGCTACACAGCTATAAACAAGATGTTTTTCACTCAAGCAGCAGCCACCTGCAAGGTAACAGAGGTCGGAACTCCAGCTCAGCATCAACTTTAACTGCTTACCTTTGCTGCCAGTTCCTTGAGGGCACTGGCAAATACTATTTTTGGTCTAAACAGGTGAACTGTGGGTTGACCTCCTTTTCAGCGGAGAACATCCCCCATGTCCAGCAGCAGGAAATCACAGAGTAAGGATAAATGCAGCCTAAGTATATGGCAAATCACATAGCTGCTAGAAAGCCCTGAAAATGGTTCAAATATACCATATATACACACACACACACATATATACACACACACACCATTGTTTCTAAAAGCAGTGACAGGATGAAGTAACAGTAATACTTCATAAAGATTCATGATGCTGCAAGTTTCATTCACCCAATGCAAAACTGGATTTTTCAAGTGGTCAGAGACCACACTCACAAATGGTCTGTCTAGTCCAGTCTCCCATCTGTGAGAGTGATCAGATAGTGTAATTTCTTCATTACCCAGGCTTTGTGTCAGCTATTTCTAACCATATTGTTTATGCAACATCCCCTCTGAGACAGGATTACCAGAAATCAACAGAACACTGCAGGAAAGATCATGCCGTCTATACATCCAGGGGACACAAGCTTGCATAAGACAAGCAACAATCCAGACATGATTTACCTTCAGACACAAAAGACTATTGATTAAATTGAAAGGGAACACCGTTAAATAACTTACAGGCAGTACTTTCTAATAGGACAATAAAAGAAAATTAGGCGTTGAATCGGGTTCAAGTCATCCTTGTGGACTAAAGGTCAACCCAAAGCCTCACATGACTTAATGCAGTTCAGAGGAAATCCAGGAGGCTGCTCTAAGACAGCCTACAGCAGCAATGTACAGAGCAAATACTGCAAAGTCCTCTGCTTGTTTTTCTCTGAGCCTCTTTTCTCTCCTCATCCCTTCCTCTTCCCTGTCATAGCAAAAACTATACAGTATGTCATCTTAACCCTTAGGTACATTTAGCCCGAGAATTCATTGCCACAGGGCAGCTTCAAGATTAAAAGCTCTGCAAGCTAAGAAAACACTACACGGACAGATTGAGAACTAGATTTTAATGCACTGAGCTGCACATTTACCTTACTTTATTAAAAAAAAAAAAAAAGAGAGAATTTCTCAACTTTTACTTACAGTTGTTCATTGAATCTTAAGATCTTTACTGCCCGTTGGGCAAGAGAAAGGGATCAGGGCTTTCGAAAAGACCAAAGCAGGGTGACAGTACTGTTCAGTGAAAAGTCATAGAGTATCACAGATCAAGTGTTCAGGTTCACTGACCTCCTGAATAGGCAAAAAGAGTCTTTCTACATTAAATGTTTCAGCTTTCAGCCAAAATTTCTTACTACAGAAGTCCCTTTCAATATTGAAATAAGTACATGGACACAGACCATATATTTCAATGGTTTTCAAAGTTATTCTTCAGGAGAACTTACATTTTCAGTATTTCTAATGAATTCCCCTCTTTTTTTTTTTTTAAATAAGTCATTTTATCTTTTATTTCTTTTTTGGTTTTTTAGTTCACGTTTCAAACTGTCTCTCAGCTCATAGGTTAACACAAAATGCAGTACTCTCTTGAATTCCCAGGATTACTTTTGATATCTGTTATTCTCTAGAATGATTTGTACCGAGAGCATTTATTTTTCTTAGCAAGTCTGTCAGTTCTTATGTTTCAAAGTGAATACATCCAGGTCACCTGACAAGCATTATGTTTTCCCAGGCCCCCCACCCTCCCAATTTCTAAGAAAGTTTCATCTTTATTACCTGAAACAAAACAACAGAAAAACTCAAGAGTTTCAATATAAGAGTATCTTATATACAAGACTACCTTCCCAACTTCCTTTGCAGGGAAGAGATGCACAGAAAACATTAAGCTGCTTCACCCTACTCCAATTACTTCCCTGACTGAAAGCACAAGGAAAGCTGCTGAGCGTATGGACAGTCTCCAACACCTTTTTTTTCTTATTGTTAAAAAAGAAGAATGCTCTCACATCCCTAAGTAGTCACATTAAAAAAAGCTTACCATAACTTAAACATGCTATAAAAGCCAATGTCAGTTTTCATTTACTTAAACAGTTTTTAAATCAGAAAAGAAAAACAAAAGCCAGTTGTTACTGGATTGGTTTACACACGTTCTCTCTCAAAGACCAGGGGCACAGAGAGCACTGCCTCATTGATCATTTTGGAGTTTCACTCAAACACCTACCAGAAAGGCAGGTGAACAAACAAGTTCTGTTTGAAAACAGTGTTTTGCTGAAGAGGCACAGACTGGGTGATAAGAACTGAGGGGCCCCTCAGCTCAGCTGCAGGACAGCCAAAGCCAGGGCAGTGCAGATGCCAGTAAGCATCTTTGTTTTCCTTTTCACCCTTTTTGAAAGCCTGCAGCAATTGTGTGTGGATACCTGGGAGGATACAGGAGCAATTCAACCAGGCGTAACTCTATAGATGAAGATGAAGAATGAAAACAGTTTTTCAGCTGTGACAATGCATATATACTCTAAAACCATTTGTTGGAAAAAATATCAATTTCCCCTTTTGGTGTCAATTAGATATTCTATTACTTAGGTAGTACAGCTTATATCTAAGCTGTACTTAGTATTTACAGTTTAGTCTTTATTTTCACTTCTGCCATGGGAAGTTTACTGTAATTTGTAGACAAGGGTCGTCCACAGTAAAAATTAAGTACATTTAAGTATAGTTCCCCTCTCCTCCGTAATAATTAAACTATTTTTTTTTGTTTAAGGGCATAAATAGCTTTTCAGGTTTTAATAGCCCTGTAATGGCAAAGGGACTAGGTTCCTAGCTTCTAATATCAAAGCATAAAGTTTCTGCTCTTAACTGACTCCCAATCTTCAGTCTCTATTCGACATCTAGAATTCCAGTACCATATACAGGACAGCAGCCATTCTGATTTGATCCCTGCAACGCTCAAACAGTAAGCCCATCCATAACTCAGGAGTCTAAGCACTGTGGCAGAAAATAGCTGCCACACAAAACATGGAATGCAAAGTTGAAACCAAACATATGGAAAGAAAGGGTAAGGAAAGCAGACAAAACTGCTTCAAGCTCTTTGCTATTTCATTTTAAAAGGGGTGGAACCATTTCTGCTGATACTTCAAAACACTTTCCAAGGCCCTGCAATACAGGGATGAAAAATGACCAAAATACCAGGAGGTATTACCTTCTAGTATACGTAATTATTGTGGGAGCAGCCAAGAATGACTGTGGTGGGTAGTACTTCTCAAACTCTTGGAATAAGTTGCTTTAATGCTAACCTCTGCATCCCTGGCAATTTAAGCAGTTGGCTGGGAACCTTGAAGTGTGACAGGATACATGAAAAATTTACCATTGCCTCACCCCAGGCATGCAAATACTCACTATCTTATAGTTGCCAGTTACAGATTTTGTCTATCAGTATATCAGTTCTAGAAACCATCTGGAGGGGACTTGGATTCTCAATTATCTCCACTCTTACTAGCATCTTCCTATGAAGCAATTTGACAGCCCTTGCTTTTTAGAATACAACCCAAGAAGGCTGGACTAAATCATCTCTGGAAGTCCCTGCCAACCTGAATGGCTGTATGAGGTAATCCCAAGGAATGCTTAAGAATACCTCTGTAATCAGGGATTATAGGATCACATCCATGATTTCTCAGTTTTCAAATCCTCCCAGGCCAAAGACACTAGTCTCACTGCATGAATTATGCAGACACAAGAGGTAAAGGTGTTTTGTTTTGTTTTCTGAAGCTGAAGACTTGATGTATGATCCACAGTCTCCCAACTCACAAGAAGATTGGCTCAGAATTGAGGAATATCCACGGCACTCTGCAAAAAAGAGAAGCAGCAGCAGCATGCCATAGTATAGAAAAGAAAGCACACACTTAGGGTTACAAAGATGAAGAAAGCCAAGCACCAGGTTAATTTGGTATCAAGGAAAGCACAGCGTCACCTGAAATACAGCCAGCGGCTTTCATTCATCTCTTCCGCCGATGGAACATGGTCACCAACTCTGGTACAGTACAAGAATGGAATGTAAATAATAAAATGCTCATGAGATGGTAGCTTTACAGAGTTGCCTAGCAAAAAAACAAATAAAAACCCCCAAACCTCTACCCAACCAAAAAAAGACAAAATATACAAGAATAAGAATGGCAGAATAATGACAAAGTGACAAAAAAATCACAGAAATTAACTTTATGATTGAGAACTCCAATAATATTCTTAATTTACTCAGCTGGCAAAACATCTGCATTCACGATATGCTACCTGCTACCCCCTCCCCCAAAAATTAAATTCAACAGCTTTTCAAAGAAACACTACATGGTGACAGAGACAATCTAAGACTTGCACATATTCTAAAAGAGAAAGAAAGTAATTAAAGGAAGTCATGACAAGAAACTATGCCTGCATGATGGAAGGCATCAACACAGCCTACTTTAAGAGCATCAAATACAACTGGTAATACATACTTAAACCGAGTGATTTATGTAACAATCGACTAGCAATCTTCAACAAAATTAGTCTTCAGTCACAGTAGAATTTGTTTTTATTCTTTGCTTCACCTTTTCCATTGTACTTAAAGAAAACCACAATGAAAGCACGTTTGTTTTCTAGTACTTCCAACATAAATTCCTTACAAATTGTTTTTTTCTCTCTACTTTTCCATGAAGGCATACTACACGAATTATATACTGCTTATGCCAAAATCAAGGCCTAGGTTATCAGAAATAATTAATCACTTAGTATCCACTCTAAGAAATCCTTAGAGGCCTCACTTTTCAAAGAGCAGGTGTTCATATCCTGATTGCAGGCTCATATCTTGAACAGCCAAATAATTGAGGCCATAAGCTTGCATGACCAAGCGTAATCCTTGAAGATTGAGGCAAACGCCAGACTTTGGAGGGATTCGTTTTCAATTCTTAGTTCACCAGTTCTTTCCTGCACGAACATACACTACAGGTCTGAGCGTTCAGCTTCAGAAAGACCAATACTGAGACGGCTCTCTATGTCTGGCAAAAGCTAAAATTAAAAGCTGCCTAATAACTTCCCTTCTACGACTTATTTCTTAATGCCGTATCTTTGCCAAGCTAACATACTGAAGTTTTCCCAGATGTCTGTATTGAGTGCTTCATTTTTGGAAAGTTTTAGCTATTTTGTAAGAGTTCAACTGTTTTTCAAAAGGTGGCTGAGAAAGAAGACAATTCCTACCCCTATGTTAAAAAAAACAAAAACAGAAACAAAAAAACCCCCAAACCTCGATCACTGAAAAAAGCCCTCAAAACTTGGAAAAGTTACTTCAGGATGGTTTTAGGGTGACTTTGGACACTCCTTTAGTTGACCTTACCGAGAGGTAAGGGCAGAGCTCTTGTCAGAGCTTGCCAGCTATATCCTTCTCCCCCATGTGCTCTAGGTACGTCTCACCCCAACTCCTACAAGGGCTGGACAAGACCTTCCTCACATGTGCTCTCTGTCTGCTGGGAACTGCCATTTCGCAGAGCACAAGAGCATAGATAAGGAAGTGTCTCTTGTGCTTGCTTCCAAACATTGTAAAGGAGGAAACACTCCTTTGCCTCCCAAGGTGGGGGTGTGTGTGTGGGGGGGGGGGGCACAGTGCCAGTCCAGTGAGACTACTGAACCTCCAAAACAGAGATTCACAACTAGTGATGAAAAACAAGAGCTGGGGGGCAGGAGGATGGTAAAAACTAGATAGGGCAAGATAACTGGAATAAACAGTGCATAAAAAGGTATGGCAAAAGGAAAAAACCCACGACAGAGGGAAAGGGACAGTGCCTGCCTACATGTCTCTGCTCTTCGGAGGCAGCAGAAAGCAGCTAGAAGGCAGGCCTAGAGGAGCATAAAACCCAAATGAAGCATCTGTCTTGGAGAAAAATGAAAACAACAGGCTGCAAAGCAGAAGAATTTAACCTCTTATCAAATATCCTCCCTGCTCAAAAGCCCTAAATAGAACCCAACGTTCTAGTCCGCTATCAACACTCGCCTCCTGGCATCGCAGTGCGGTGAAGCATGGTATCTAAAAAAAAACACATTTTATTCAATGACTAATAATTGGACCACCAGACAAAACAGAGTATAACCTGAGACTGCCATCAGGCTGTGAGCAGCTATCTGGGGTGGTGCTAAAGCTATGTGAACTAACTTCCTAAGTGACAATTACGATGTTTCCAAGTTTTTTTTTTCAGTTCGCCTTTTTTTTAAAAAAAAGCAAAAAAACAAAAACAAAAAAACCCCACTAGATAAAAATCTGTTAGAAAGATGAGAGTTGCAAAGTCAGGCATAACACAGTAAATACCTAACTTGACGTTGCCTGTGCAGCCTTCAGCTTTTCTTGGAGAAAGATATATAAAAATATCTTAAATGGAAAAACATGTATATATGTAATGTATGTATATGCTTATGCATAAGACTTAAGAAAAGGTTGCTAAGTATAACCGAAATTACTTCATTAAAATAAATACAGCCTTCCACATTTGAAGCAGCTTTTGAAAGAGAGAAAGATATTAATATACAAATTGCTTCATTCAACATGAAAAGAACCAGTGCCAAGAGGGGTCAACCATCCCTAATGAAAAAATGGCAAAACATTATTTTTCAGTCCAAATGCTAGGAGTTCCCTTTTTTCCTGTGACAAATGAATAAAATGATAAGTAAGCTACTTTTCAGAAAAGAGGAACTTTGTCAATGCTTTTGATTTTCAGGACTGTAGTTGCTGAAACTGTTAAAACTTCAGGCAGGAAATTGTTTCTTGGCTTTAGTCACAACACAGAGGAGACTGGACTTGTAAACGTTCATTTTTAATGTCCAAGCCATGCTTTATTTTCTAAGAAAAAAACAAATCCAGTGCTAGAAAAACATAACTGTTTACCATTCAGAGGCTTAAAAATCATCTCACTGATAGCCAAGAAAAATCAAACATAAAAGTTTAACACAAGTTTCTGCTGTTAATTTTTAGCTTGCTTAACATCAAGTGGTTTAATCCAAAACAACTAAAGATTCCACCATTTTTTAATTGGATTTTACTGTCATGATCTCACTCTCCCACCCAGTTAAGCAATAAACTAAAGTAGCCAGTACAAACTGGATCCTCTGCTTGGCTGCACATTTAAATCTGACCACTGCACACTGGTAACGTCCCCAATTTGGAAATATACCTGCTCTCGATTATCTGAGAAAAGTCAGAACTGAGTAAGACTGAGGAATAGTGTGTTTTTGCCTATTTTCTTCCTTATGCTGCTCTTTACTTAGGCAAAACTGTATTTTCATGTTAGCCTCTTTCTCCTTGACCTACTTTTCTGTTTTTAAAATATATTTCACATCACTGGAGAGAAGGGATCTTCAGAAGTAAAAAACAAAGCATGCACCCCAACTGCCATCCACAGTTAATTGTGCGGCAGTAGGCGTGTTCCTTTGACTCTGAGTCACAGCAAAGCTACCCTGGCTCCTTCTATAAGTATTGCCCCATAACCCTGTATTCCCACAGCCATCTCCTCATGACTGTAAAGGTGCCAAATCAGGCTGACAGGCTTGGCCAGAGGCAGCTTGCTGATAGTGTTCTACTTAAACTGTGCAGTCACAAAGTCTTAAGTAAGACCCCTTGTTGTTTATGCCTTCCTTCAGTTCCCTGACATACCCACTACAACAGACAGGCACCTGCAGTTCCCAGGAAAGGAGCTCAGCTCATTGCAGCCCACAAACTATGAAACGGGCCACCCAGAAACCCCACTAACAGACAGACAGGAGAGCAGTACCTGCAGGGTTACAGCACCTCTGCTCTGCTGAGCAACAAATCTGCACATTAAACGAGTCCAAGGGTCAGTCAGCTCAGCCAGCTCTCTATTAAAGCAGGCCCTCTGCTTCTCCTCACCTAGATTTTGAAGCAAGACCAGCCACCTCACGAGGACTTTGCTTTCCACTCTTCTCCCGTGAAGGCTGAAGTCAATCAGGACAGAGAAAATTTGAGTCCACACAACTCCTGACATTTAAGTCCGACACACAAGGGGCACTAGTTTCCTATTTCCCTTCATTCACTTAACCTAGAAAAGTTTTTTATCTTTTAATATCTTTTCTGATAAACAATCAAGCACGCGAGCACAACTTAATTCCAGCCTCTTGCAATCCAATCTAATGGGTAAGTGCCAGGGGCTCACACAGCATCCATACAGGCAAAGCCATGCCAGAGACAAGCTCCCTACCGTACGGCCTCAGGACTATGTCTCAGCACTGCTGAGGGAGGCACTGGGACTGAAGAACACCTTCAGCTCCTTTTGGCTGTCACACTGGGTAAAAAGGGACGGAAAAGACAGCACATTTCTAAATTTCAGCTGCAAATTCATCTGTCCCTTTGTTAAGTCTCTAAGGTCAGATAGCTCTTGCTTTCCTGTAGGGAGGGTTATATCACAACAGATGACAGTTTATCAGCACTATGTTTCCAATTCTTTATCAGCTACACATGGCTGCCACCTCCTGGCACAAATCTGATTTCACATGGTCTCTTAGAAGAAAAAGTGCAGTCTCAGTAATTAATGAAGCAGGGCCTATCAAGGCAGCTGTGGACAGCCCATGCAGTTCCCTAAAACACTTTCTGTGTGGAATTCCCTGGTTCACAAGCTATCCTTCCCTTAATATGGAAGTTAACTGTTTCTTTCCTGTCAACAATGCCAAACAGAAATGAAAGTTAAAAATACTACCTGCTAGCAAGGGTGGGTACACCTCCAAAAAACTACAGCTAAACACTCAAAATCATGTTTCAGCCAACTGTCTTCTGGCAGCTACTCCAGGAATGGTATCATAGTGCTAGTCAGTGTTTCCAGCTATTCTCCCTCCTTGCGCAAACTGATTCTTGCAAGTGGAACTTTTACAAAGGGCAAACCTGGAATGAATACGGTGTTATCCCTCCCTCTCTTCAGGGGCAACTCATCAGCCAGGCTCATAAAGTCTCATTATTGTGCCAGACTGGTCCTTTTAAAGAAGTAATGGCATCTTATTAGATGCCTTTGCAAACTGTTTCCTGATCTAGACCACAGAAAAAGCTGTCACTTCAACCATAGAGGCACAATCCATTCTCAATTCACAGAAGGTTTCAGCAGGCTTACAACAGGGTAGCATTTCCGGTAGTTTCTACCCGGCAAGAAGCTGGGCCACCTTCTGGCATTCAGTCTTGTCATACTGCTGACAGCTGAAGGAGGAACCTATGGAAGCGGGGATAGCTGACTGCTCTCAGGAGCTCCATTTTTTATATCCTGACCCTTACTTGATGACAAGCTGGGAAATGCCCAGCTATGCTCCCTCAACAGAAAACGCATAGGAAGAAGAGCAGAAAGCCCAGAATGCCAGCATCCACGATGAGATCTCTTAGACTCAGTTTTGTCAACCTGATTGCAGGCAAGCTTCAGAAGATGCTTTGGAATCCACTGAAGCCAAAGGCAGACAACAGATATCCTCACGTCAGCTATCACAAAGGCTGCAGGCAGATCTTGGCACATACCGCTCAATCACACTGTGAGAAGACTGCAAAAAAATGTTCTCATCTGCATCCTGCTTACCCTTACCAGAACTTAGCTCCTGTTCCCTTGTGTGCAGGGAAGCAGTCCTTGAACAGCAGTCCTCCGTCTCAAGCAGTCTTTGAACACTACTAGTTAAGCAGACACTGTACCTGCCCTGCTCGGTGAGGTGTATTAGTACAGTTTTCCTTTCATACCACTATCAGCCAGAAATGTGCTTTTGTTGCCAAAGATGCCTATTGGGAAGGTACACATGGTACCTATTCCAGGTATCTTGCTAAAGTCATTATGCAGCCCTCACATGGGAACAGGAATCAATCAGGTTGGGCCTAGAAATATCATTATCACGAGGTATCTCATGATCCTTAATGACACAGCTGCACTGGAATTGTTTTCTTGCTGACTTAAAAACTAGGTGGTTGCATAACCTGTTGTTAGCAATATGACCTTCGGAGATCCTAAATAAATGGAAGTGATGCGTCTTTCTGGTATACCAGCCAAACATCTGGAACTTGCATTTAAAGACAGAAATGGATTGATTCAGCACAAAAAAAAAAATCAGGATTTCTCAAGAGCACATCCAATGGGCACTGTTTAATATAGAGTTGAGATGATGTAATCACTGCTGTAATGCCTGTTTCAGGATGGAGGCACGTGACACAGGTTGCAACGAATGTCGTCTGCTTGGCATAGAGTGGTTCAGCTCTTCCTGAGTGCATTTTCTTTTAACGAGATGTCAGCCAGTCACAATGACATATCATAGTTTTTGGTAAGCCCATCCCATGGCTTTAGCTGACTTCAATAACAAGAGTTTCCAAATATTCCTGGGAATCCTATCCATTCTATTTTTCAGCCTAGAAAGTACCTATTGCCAAGTAGTTCACAAAAGTTTTCTGAAAGCAGCAACAGTCATTAAAATTGTCAACTCTTCCTAACACTGAAACTGCTTATACCTTCTAAGGTTTTTTCCTATCCTACTGCGAGACAGTGGGAAATAAATTCTGCTGAGCACAGCCAGAATGTAAGACAAAGTAAGCTTTCATGTGCCAAAGATTATACATAATTTACACATGTAAAATACACTGGAGGGTTTGGTACAGTGTGTTTTGTTTTAATTCCACTATTTACTCTGTCCCCCTGACACTCAACTGCTAAAACCACCACAGAACGGTAACGTATGCGCTCTTTAACAACAGACTGATTTCACAACTCTAGCACTTTTGCAGGTAAGTATCCTGAAGCATGCATATGCTTACAGCCCTAAAGTACCCAAGTATTAGCCAGAACTTACAGAGGAAACAGCTATAATCATCACACTGCTTACCATTTCCCTAGGTCTCCTGAAAACAGAGGAAACACCCAGAAGACTAGCAGGATCCCAATTATCCCAGTTGTTTGGATAACTTCAAGTTTATTTGGATATATGCTTCAAGTACATCTACATCCAATTTAGCACCACCCACTAAAGACTCCCAATAACTTGGAAAACAGAGCAGGATCATTACCAGGAGCTAGAAGACAGGGAAATGTCTTAGTATAATAGGAAAAGAAGCTGGATATGAGACTGGATAGGCTAATTCTTTCTTTTCAATATAGGGGCTGCTGCATCAGGCAATACTATTCCATATCCTGCTGGGCTGACAAGAACCAAGATCCCTACTCACATAGCACCAAAGAGCTTTAGGCTGAATTTCAGTAATATCTTGTGCATTTTCTTCACCAGCTTGCACTATCCCCTTCCTTTATATAACAATGTTCTAACTACCTAGAACACCTCTAAGCAAGCCTCAAACAAGTTCTGCAAGACTATTCCTGCCTAGCACAGCTGCCATTTGAAAAGCGAAGTTTCCTCAGCATGCAGTTGCATACCGACCTGATGTTCAGCCATGAGAGCATGGGAGTTGTGCCTCCACCGACAATCCAGACAGTGAAAAAGACGATAAGGAGAGTTGTTGAGAACATCATTTGATGCGAGTAAGTAGCAGTATCTCGTATGGCCAGAGCAAATGCCATAGCTCCCCTGAGACCTATGCAAGAGAATGAAATTGGAGAGCTTCAGAAGTACATCTGAGCCTCATTGTAACACAGCATTTTTCCTTGCTCCCTTCCTTGCCACATGGACACAAAGTGATGATCAGAAAGCACTGGTCTCAGGTTATTCTTGGGCAAGTTTTCCTTTGCAGAAGTTCAGTCAGCAGGCTTACCTTACGCTTTTCTAGATCGTTCTCCTGTAGCTCAGGGAAACAGGTATCTACCACCCTGAACAATTTAGATACAAAACAAGTTCCTTCATAATTTCCACTCTTCGCCCTGGTATTTTTCCTGTAATTTTTAGAATCTGCAAGTGCTACAAAAAGTAGCAAGTATTGCCAGAAGCTAAAGCTGAAACAAACGGGTTTTGGACAACAGCAAAACGTATCTTGGAAATCAAAATGCTCCCTGAATTTAAATGAAAATGCAAACATTTCCCTTTGTTTCTGTAACTCAGGCATGAATGCTTGACAGGAAATAACTATCAGCTGGAAAAGTATTCCTGGTAACAACATGCTCACAGACAGAATATACTCCCCGGATTATGAAGCTCTACCAGCAAGGGCATGT